TGTAAAAATGGATTTTTTCGTTCTGTACATATTTTTGTTATTTAGACGTAATACTTTCATATTGAATGCATTTTATCGTGGTTTTGATGATTCTTTTAACATAAATATTTATTGTCGGTTTTAATTGAACTTCAGTAGAAACAAAGTATCTTTTATCTGTAATGACGTATTTAAAAAATAATATTTATATCGGAAAGTAATTTATTTTATGAATATAGGGGAAGAAGGGGTAAAGTGGAATACCGCGAAAGAATTTAAATCAACAAATTATGCATTATATTAACAAATTTTAATAATTTTTAGTGCATAAATAAATTGAAAAATTAATGTACAAAAAGTATAATAAACGTTTTTAAATTCATTTTAATAAATTAGTACATTTTCTCGAGCGTTTCATTTTGCCCTCGTGTTCCACTTTATCCAACTTTCCCCTACTGATGAATCTACTGTGTCAATTTTGAAAAAAAATCAGAAAATTGAATAAAAAATAAGGACAAAGAATTTAGGATAACTTGATTTCAGCAGGAAGTGCAGCTGGTTTTGAGGAATCGACCAGCTGTTGGTGTAAGGTTTTAGAGATATATAAGTATCAACCATCAATCTGGTGCAGGTCGTTGAAAAAAAAAAAAATGATTTTTTATCTCTTTTTTGATGTATCCTAAAAAAAATCTCTACTCAGAAACAGCAAACTTTTGAAAATAACCACGACAAAGCTGCTTCACTTAAATGGTTATACACATGATACAGTAGTAGAAGAAAATAACAACCAGGCACATTTAAGAAAATATTTTTTCAACTATTATAAGGCCGATAATAATTTTTTACGACTATGAAAATAATTCATTTAATTGCTCTAATTTATTTAACAAAGACTGATTTTTTTTTAAACTTAACACAATTATTCTATTTATTTGCCATTAACAGATTAAGAGAATTAAACACCTGTTGGTCAGTATTTCAATGTTTTATCCAAAAGTAAACTTATGTATATATTTGTACATACACATAAATAATATGAAATAATGATCATGAGACGATTATAATGCTGATAAATAAATGAAGATATAGATAAGAGCAATTAATATATAATTTCAATCATAAGATTCCCAGATAGACATAATTTATCAACATATCTACATAGTGACATAAAATAAAAATTATTAACCCGAGTCAAAAATTTTCATCTGTTTTACGACTCCTTAATAAAGACTAAACATGTCATCAAAAACTCTTGTTTTATTGTTGATTTTTCTCCTATTTAATATTTAAGTCTGTTTACCTCCGCGATTTTCAACAATACGGACAAAAGCATCTTTTTTCGTCTGCTCTTGTCCTCCAAGCTGACTAATTAAGGTCAAATAAGTCCATGATTAGTATATTTATTTATTATGTACCCACTGAAAAAAAAGTTTAATTATTGCAGAAAAGAAAGTGTATGCTGACGGGTATTTCTCTCGTAAGAAAACGTATTTTTGTCGGAAGAATACGTATTCTTAGAGGGCTGGAATTATAGTTTTGCCATAGGGCTTAAATTTGTTCTGCGATGGGAGTTAAACTGCGTTGAACGATACTGTAGTAATGCTGTAGAAACTATAGTTCCATATTTGACCGTGTACATTACTACACGTGTGAACTACACATACGTACACGTATTCTTATCGAAGAATTTAGAATTAAAAATTATCCTTATTAAATAGTATCATCATGATAACATAAATCTGCGAGAACCATGACTTTGTTAATCATGTGAAATTAAATTATTTTCAATCTATAATGCTTTAAATTAATTTAATATTTGAATTAAATTTGTGAAGTGATATAAATAAGGTTATGACATTTTTCACCATCATTGTTAGTATGCCCTCTACATGAAAACTTTTTTTTTATGGTACCTAAACGTTGGTTCACAATAACGAAGCTTCAGTTTAAATTATATGTTGAAACGAATATCGGTACGGTAACGAAATTTTTTTTTGCAGTAATTAAACTTTTTTTCAGTGAATATACATATGTAAACTTTACTTTAAACAAAAATTAAATATAATTAAATAACTTTGATTTCTTTTAGGCAGTTAAATATACAAAATTTATAATTAAAAAAAAAAATTAACCGGCAAGAAAAGTGGAGTAGGAAAAAAACATTGGCATATCGACCGATGAAAAATTTCAAACTGCCTGAGTGAGATTTGAACTTAGTACCCTTAATTCCCAAATCTGCAAAATTTTGTCTGTATCAAATCTAAAATTGATGATTTTACCTGTTTTACTTCGAAATTAGTCGGATTTTTCTTTAATTTTGGATCTACTACTGTGTTTCCTCTTTCAAGCTTCAATCTATCTGATTTTGTCCTTGTTGTAATAAAATAGATTTTGTAATATAAAAAATTTTATTGCAATATTGGGTTCGTTGGAGATAATTTTTTATTACTCGAGATTTTATCTCAGTCTCTCGTAAGAGACTAAGATGTCATCTCAGAAAGGTTCGTTGAAAGTAATTGTTGAATATGTAAAAAGTATTCTTTACCACGCGAATTTTAGACTGTGGTCTTAACTTAGATGTTATTTACTTCTGTTAATGGCACTTGCTTAAATAATGTAAATTGTCCTCCATCTGTATCCTTTAAAAGTTTATAAAGAAAAAGATAGATAGTTGCATAATTACGCAACTAAGAACTGATTAGGTTCTCCGAAAATAAATATATGTTTAAATGAATTTAATCTGATAAAAAAATTACTGGAATAATATTTAAACATCGTATTCATTTTTATGTATTACAATTGGATCATTTAGTATTATTGATGTTAACGTATTATTATGTGGATAAATATCAAGCTTATCCCAGTATTTCGGAAGGTAAATGATTTTCAACTATTGAAATAGATTAGTTATCCATGTTAGTAAATAAATAATTTCTTAGTAACTTAAAACAATAAGTCAATTCTAATGTGCAATTTTTAATAGTTTACTTGATACAATAATAAAGTCAATTTCAATATGTTTAAACAAGACATTTGCTAACTATTAAAAAACTATGTGAACTATTATCGAATCGTTTTGGAGTATAGCCATTAAGGTAAAATGTACTACAAACAGGACATGTTTTAATTAACAGGACAATATTGATACACTAGAAAAAATTGTATTTGAGTAAACTTATTGACTTAGTTATAATTACGAAAACAAAAGAATAATTGCTCTAATTAATCATCATAATATTTCCTTTAAACAAATTCTCATTACTATGGAAAACTTTTACTTAAGTAAATAGTTTTTTTATGATAATAAATATTCACCTCATATAAAATCAATACATAAAGGCTATTAAAGTCATTTGATATACTTCAGTATTGTTAGTATTAGTGTCGTATTACTATGTATTATTGAAATAACTTGTTGTTTTTGGTAGCAAGTTATTGAAAAAGCCGAAGCTGTCAGTTTTTAAAGTGTCAGAAGGGTGAACATTATTTCATGAAAAAAATTTGACATGGACATAAAATATTTCGATAATTAACTTACTCATTAGAATATAGTTTATACGAATAATAATGTAATGTTTTAAAATTACATTCATTATTTTTTGTTTCTAAAGAAATCGAAAAAAGCTAAATTTTCCAAACATTAAATTTAACTAAAATTTAGTTGACTGAGTTAATTATTTGTTAAGTTTATTCAATTTACTGAGTGCAAATGAGAACTATTTTTATTTCTTTAATAATAATCGTTTTTAGAATTTTATAAAAAATTATGAGAATACTATAATCTTAACAACTTGAGGTCGATTAAAGACAAAAAATGATTTTGTAGCTGAATCCTAAATTTACTGAGTAGATGGTTTATAAATGCAAAACATGCGTTTAAGTCTCTGTGATGTAATGAAATTCATTTTATCCTAGAAGATCCTCAGTACAATGATGTCGGCGATGTAAACTTGGATGTGTCAGTAGAAAGACGGCAAACTCACCTATATAAAGCAAAGAACGGAATGGGAAGAGATAATCCAAGACAGCTCTACGTGACTCAACGTCTTCGTCGGGTTGGCACTTTGTCTTTTGCACTGACAAGTAAACGCTTGAATCGACTATCACTCTCAATATTTCGACAGATCTCCGTGCAATTCTAAGCGTACCGTTCGACTTTCCCTTCAATCTTTCTCTCACAAGTACCATATAATACTTGAGACAATCTCTTTTCTAATTTACGATTAGTATGAGCATATCAAAGAAAATTATATTATTATTTATTATTATTCATCAATATTTCGATATTCATATGCAAAACTTATGATGACAAGTATTAATACTTATTTATAGTTATTCTAGACAGGATAATATTAATTATGAAAATTACATATGAATGCGGAATTAATCAAAATCACTCTATTATCACCATACGAATTTTCATTATATTTATTTCTTCAAATTTTTTTCATCTTTTTATTATTTATATAAAAGTAATTAAGCTCGTTATTTAATTACTTTAATCGTTTCAAAAAATTATGAGCAAATTTATTCTGATTGAATTAAAGCATGAAAATTAATAGATAGATAAAAGCTAATAGATGTTTTTGATGTGACTTGTTTTGTTTTAAATATTTAAAATCAATGTAAAAATAGTCTTTTATTGTCTAGAACATTTTTGATTCTAAAGATTAAAAACCATCAATTTTATTTTCATTATATCCTTCCTTTAATTTGAACAATTTATCCATCTTCTGGGTGGCACCTGTCTACTGGTCTGCTTACCTAAGGCTCCACTGATCTTCAGATATGTCGATCACTCCACTTTAAAATCCAAACTTAGATATTGTGTGTAGACGTCCGAAAATATTTACCATTTTTAATATAATATTGCATTACGTAGATGCGTCATTTTTCATATTATTTCTGCTCCAGATTTACATACTTGCTTTCTTGAGTAACCACGGATACTATTCTATATAATTAATATGCTAAATCAACAACAATGATCATTTCAACAAGAAATACCTTGAAATGTGTATCTTTTACTAAAGAATTTTTCTTTCACCCACGGGAACTTGGTACAATTGCTTACCTAAAACAAAAAGGGAAGACGGTTGAGAAATTGGAGTATCAAGAGAGAGGTGGAGTATTTACACTAAATTATCAAGTCAAAGTTTCTACATAAAGATTGTGTCGATTGTTCATCGAGGATGTACTCTGGTATCATATTACCATTGTTTACGTCAAATAAAGGCTTGTAAAATATTGCAGATTAACTTAACTATATATTCGAAACAAGGTATTTTTTGTAATTTATTACTGGATTTATCACACTGTTAACTGATAATATATGAACTCAACCAGTTAAAGTATAGAATGAATAATTTATTTATGGTGTAATGTGTCTTTACTAGAATATTATTGTACTTTTGTTATATGTAAAGTGCGGAACAAAAGTTCTTGAAAAATATACTGTAATTAAAAGCATGTTACTTATGCGTTAATATAATAAAAGTTTGAGGAAATTTTTACAATAATAGTTTGTTTTTTGTTTTAAGGTAGGATGATAAAATATTCATGTGAGATATTGATTATATCACTTGTTGCAATAGACAATAAGAAACAGTGAACTATGATTCTCAGAATAAAAATACTTCAGATGCCGTATTTTAAAAATATTTTCTATATTTATTTTTCTTTTTACTTTGAAATATGAATTCTGATTATTAAAAAATTGTTTTTTGAGTTAAAAATACTGCAGAATTTATATACAAATGTTTATATATATTTTTTTTCATTTCGATATGAATGTAATTTCGCTTTTTTTTTTTTTTTAAATAAGCTCATTTACTTGTCATAAAATGTTCTTACAACAAGCTTGGTGAAACAACTTATATAAAACTTTTTCAGTTATTACCTTTTTCATAGTACAAAAAATGTTAGTATTGTTGATAAGAGGAAAAAAGAATCACTATATAGACTTAAAAAAATTTCCTCTGATAAAAAAAAAAATTTCAGAGATTTGTGAATCTACTTTTTGTATAAAAGATAATAACAATAGAAATAAAATTCATTCTTCACTTGAAATATACATTTTTATTTTTGTTAATCTGTTATTACCCTATTTAATCTTTCTTGCTTTTTTCAAGATTGTTCTTACTCTTATGTCCTTAAAATGATTATTTTGTACAGCTCAAATGAGAGAATAAAGCAAACTAAAAATAAAATTCAAAGAGACATTTTGTGCTTTCATCTGACGACTCAATATTTTATAAGATATTAGTAATTTTTCTGTGACAGGCATAATTATAATGTTTCATTGATGATTGAACTTTTTTTAAAATCAATTTTAAATGGAAAAGTGAAATTTAAACTATCTGATGGCATTTAGAGATGTCAACTTATTCTGTTTCAAATAATTGGAAGTTGGTCGATGAATTCAACAGCCAATCAAAGTAGGAATAAAAATAGTTCAAATCAACTTATCGTATTTCATCAATTCTACGAATATTGATGAAGGAATTACAATAATATTTTAACGAAATTAAAAGTTAGAAAATTAATATTTAATGAATTGAAATAAAAAATAGAAAGTTATTCTTCAATTTCAATCTATTTCAGTTTATCTTTGTGCTTGATACGGTCAAAAAAATATAAAATAGTAGTGTGTTTCGTTAAAAAATCTGTGTAGAAAAAAATCAAGTTTCTTTCATTAAAAAAGGTAAAAAATAATTTATCCTCGACCACAGACATTCAGAATCATGATATGACGAAATCAATGTCCTCGTCTTTAGTCATCGTTCAATATCATATTTTATTGATGGAACATGTGTGTGATAGATGGAAAAAACGAAAAATAGGATAAATAACAAAGCACTGCAAACGAGAAGCTGATGTACTACATGCATGCATATTACGTACTAGGAGATTGCGGCAAAATCATTTGTACTATCTTAAATTCTCAAGTTTCCTAGCACTTTGCATTTCTTTAGTACTAGGAATGTAATCGTGAAAGATTATATTGCCGATTCTCGAGGAAATCACTTGCACAAGTTCTGTACTGGCTTTGTCTACCTTATACTAGAAGAAAATTGAGACCATCACCTATATCGACTGTCATTGCAAAAGCTTTCAAACTGAAATGTGTTGTATACATAAATGTGTTTTTTAAATGAAATAATAATAGAATTAATTGTTGTTTTTTTAAAGGAAAAAAATTTCAGATTAACTAATACGTTTTTAAATGAATTCATTACTAATCATTAATTTAAAATAAAATAACAAGTAGTAAAACAAATTAATAACTGTCGTATATAAAAATAGGTAAATGATATTTTGGCCATCTTTCATTTTAAATAATAGAAAAAACTTTTTCAATAGTCAGTAATTTTTACAAGGATTTTTATTTGTTTATTTTTCACAATTAATTGCTAACTGACTTTTTGCCATTTACATTTTAAAGCTCATGTAATCAATAATTACAGGATTACATAATTCTGCACTTAATGAACCAGAGCAGTGTTACATTTATGTAAGCCCATGAATAATAAGTCAATCAATTTTACACAAATAAGTTACATATAACTACCATTAATGAATACATTTTAATTTCGATAAATTTATTATGAATGTGACATTTCACTTTGGTTGTTTCATAATTTAATTTATAAATACGATTCACGTATGTATATTGCAATTGCAAAGATAAAAAAACAAAATTATGACAGAAGATAAATTTAACTACAGTCATTAGTTTTATTTCAATATTTTAAATCTCATGTTTTTACTAAATACAGTCGAACTTCTATAATTTTTAGCTCCGTAATTTTTACTTTATGTATATTAAATGTCAATTTGCTATAGTTTAGTCTATATGTTAACACAGGGCCCCGTAATTTTTATTCTTAGAAAAATTGGCCCAAGGTGTAAAAATTATAGGAGTTTGACTGTATGATAGAATTTTTAGTATAGTAGTATAGTAATGGGTCCGATTTTGCAAATCCCAAATTTTGATATATCCCCACGTTTCAAGGTCCCCAGAGTCGAATACGATCGTTTTCCAGTGGACGTCTGTGTGTGTGTATGTACGTATGTGCGTTCGGAATTATATTTCGCCTCGATTATCTCGAGAACAAAAAATGATATCGATGTGGGACCAATTGCATTCAACGCGTAATTATGTAACTTAGAATTGATTAGATTTTCAGCGAAATCGGTCCAGCCATTTTTTTTGCAGAACCAAAAAACTAGCAAAAATGGAAAATGACCTGAATTTCTCAATTTATAAATTATTTTAGACAAAACTTCGAAATCTTTAAAAAAAAAGAATATTAAATGATTAGAATACTTGTATGAAAATATGGTGACAATGTTTCATCGAAAAAAAAAATTTTGAAAAACAAAATCAACAATGAAAGAATTTTAAACTCGTGTCAGGATTGAGAAAACAGCATTAAAGACGCTATAATAGTCAATAATAATTGTTAATAATATGGAATTGTGTCCATAACAATTGAACATTGTTACTAACAAATGATTATTGATCATGGTAATATTTGAATAATAAGATTTAAATTGTTATAAACAATAAAAATAGGGGCCCTTTCTATATATATGAGTACTTTTAACGCATAATTTTTTCTTTTACTAAAAAAATGTTACCAACCGTATGACATAAATGAAAACATACTTTTTTCGTGTATGACAATGAAATTTGTTGTAAATAATGAATAAAAGGATCTATGAAGTATATTCGAATTCTTCTAATGCACAATTTTTTATTTTACTGAAATAAAGTAACTAACCATATCAAATGAATAAAAACAGACTCATTTCGTTTATAACAATTCCATTTGTTATAAAGAATGGAAATGGGTTCTTTTCGACTTGTTTTTTCATTTTTTCCACTGGGAAGTTAGTCGTGTGGACCTTTCGGGTCGCACCCAGACCACTGCAGAGCACTGATATTTTATTCTGTAATTAATGCTCATACATTTTGCTAAATTTATTTTAATTATAAATAGAAATGTAACGAATTATGAGATAAATGTAAATTTATCATTCTCGACTTATATTGACATTATATGATGCAAAACTCAATTCGATTTGTATAGATTCTAAAAACTGTACCTCAACACTGTAATTTTCATTTGCAATGTGCTATCATATATCAATCTTTCTCCATTTGTTTGTTCGTATCAATTTGGTAAGAGAATACATTAATTGTTGGAACCAATAAATTCTTCTTTCAATTCCTCTACATAAATCAAATCCTGTATAGATAAATGTACCGGAAAGTTTTTGAAATTATCCTTAAAATTTAAAACCGAGTTTCTATGAAGTCTTTATCTTTCGAGGCCTTCAGCACATTTTTAGGTAGTCTTTAAGAAAAAGGATATGTGAATATGGCTGAGTGTATATATGTACATCATATGTCGATGCGTGGTAACGAATTTTTCTACTATGATTCCTCACAAACAAATGATGCAATTGACATCTATTAGAATGTGAGAGATGCGAATTGAAGAATCTCAGAGTTGATTAAATTTTAAACTGTTTAAGGTAAATGTACCAGTGATGAAATAATTAAAGACACTATTATGTGTTGAGCTAAAGGTCTGAAAGAGAAATATTTTCAATTTTTTTTTTTAAATTGTTTCTAAAATCAAAAAGCTATTTTATAGCGCCAAAAGTCGCATAATCTTAATTAGTTTCATGCACGTTTAACTTTTACATCAATTCTTTTTTGAGAATTTAAAAAAGTACTATACATCTAACTGATTGAATTGTATCGTTGTAAAGTTTTCATTTCATTATAAAATACGTCCTAATAATAAGAATAACTATTTTGATATGTCTGATCATTTATTAAAATTCAGTTGACTTTCAAAATAACAATAAACTTAGCAAAAAAAAAATTTACAGTTAACTGTTTCCCATGATTGCAGTGAACCTTGCCTATACCAAAATATAACCCTTCGAGACCTTCTGCTATACCAACTACAACGAATAATTTTTGAGATGTACCGGTCAAACCGGTTTTCCTCTCGGATATTATTTCGGCACTGTCTTAGCAAGCAACTTTTTTTCGTA